GATTGATGGATGGATTGATGGATGGATTGATGGATGGATTGATGGATAGATTGATGGATGGATTGATGGATAAATGGACATATGGTCTCAGTATGTTCTCAGTGTATTCTCGTGCTGGCGTGACACATCACAACGTCTGGACACTCCCCCACCTCCAAAACCGCACCGCACAATCGTTCGGGTCCATTCTCCGAACTCATGCGGGGAATCATCTGGGGGAGAGGCTGCGGCTCGCGGTCCGGCTCATGATCTTCGCGAGGGGCGCGTGTATCGGAGTCTTCTCGCAGCGCTAGGACATGAAGAGTGCCATCTTTTCTGCACATCGGGACATGCCAAAGATCCACCCCAACCTGGGCAACAAGCGGATGGGTTGGGATAGGTTGGTGTGAATTGGTGAACTCCCATGATGGTTGCAAGATGTTGCAAGCGTAGGGACAGGACACATGAGGCTCTTTGCCCTGCATGTAGGGCATGCGGCATGTATGCATTAGTGGATTACAACAAAGAATACATCATATATAGTTTCAAAGGGCCTGTCCAATTTGCAGCACATCCCCTATTTCTTGGATCTTTGGATCTTTGCGGGTGCACAGGACATGTCCATCCTCCCCGGCTCTTCCACGAGATCCGACCGACCCATCCCTGAGTTCCGTCTTCCTTCGGTGCTCAGCTGCCCGGAACGTTGAAGCCCCCTTCAATGAGATGCGCAAGCATGGTGGCGTCCCGTTCTGCTCCTCCGGCTGCAGCGCATCGCGCTTGGACTGGTTCATGAAGTCTCGAAACTGAGGCACCTCCGTTGAATGGAAGAAGATCCCGGAACTGCCAGGATCCGCTCATACTGAAATGGAGGATGGGGGGTGCCCATGATCCACTCACTGGATGGGACTAAAAACAATTCCTTTGGAACTGCTGGTCTGGAAAATCAGGAAGGCTACTTTGACTGGGTTCAGTGTTTATGGCACAGTTGGGCTTTGAAGGAAGCTAAAGTAGAAGACGGGGTTGATGCAGAATCCTCCCGAACAATGCAGCAGAGTGAACAAAACCTGATCCTGGTCCAAGGTGTTCAACAGTAAACACATGTAAAAACCAGTATCCTGTTCAATGGGACTGTAGAATTGGTGGCGCTGACCCGGAGACCTTCTGGATCAACCAAACGCTGGGAAAATCGCTCGGGCTATCGCTGGGTGGGGAGAAGAGTTGCAGCATATTTGTTTCAACATGCAAATGGCACAACTCCCACAGCAAGCGGCTGTAACGACCGAGTACGGGGTCGTGCTGGTTCGTGTCCCCTTGGACCTTGTTGAAGCTCTTCGAACCCATTTGCTTGCTGTTGGGTATTCTCTTACACTCTGACGAACACATCATGTGGAAGTGCATGGCATCCCATGCCATCCACTGAACCCATGTGATGTGATGTGTTCTTTAGAGTAAGCTGTGTGGACAACTTGACACAACTCTGACTCTATATCACCAAAACTTGACAAAACTCGGCGCGCAATTCTCCACTTCCGACCAGGCCACTTCAGACGGGAGCAGCAACTCCTCAAAATCCTTCCCTTTGAAGCTCCCAGCGTGCATCAACAAATGTTTCAGGCATCCGGTGTCTTCCTGGATCTTCATCTCATCGTCCAACAAGACCTGGATGCGAAGATCTGAAGACGATCTGAAGCAACGAAGACAAGAAACAACCAACAAGACCAGGGATTTTCGATCTTCCAAGCAGGGAGCATTGTTCCAAGAAACAGGCCAATCTCATCTCTCTTGAACATTCATTTGGGTGTGTATGAAAACAGGGAGACCTCCTTTCGGCGTTCCTATCCTATTATATCAGTAACAGTGGATGATGATGTAAAGGCCTTGTTCAAAAAAGTCGTGATTTGCTGATTTGCTTGTTTACTGACTGTTACAGGTACGTAACAGGACCAACCCAATCTGTTACACACCCGTGTGGCCCATGAAACGAAACCGTCGCCGCAAGACTCCCAACGTCAATGCGGCCATGCCATGCCATCCCATGTTGGGAACCATCGGGAGCCCATACAAAACCGATTGCTAATGATCCTGATGAATTGGGGCTTCATGTTCATCTGCAGGGGAGTAGTATGGTGAGGGGCTGTGAACTGTGAACAATTTGCAAGTGGTCCTCAAACACATTCGACATTCAACCACTGTGCTGTACTCGTTTGGAGATCCACCGTACTCTGCTTCGCCCGGCTTCGCCTCCCCATCGCACACGCCCCGCAGCATCCGCCGGAAGCTGGATAACATGGACTTGGTGTCGAGATGAGCAGACACGTGACACGTGACCCAATACTCCAGGATGGCCTTGGACTTGCTGATTCAGAACCACAAAACACATCTTAACAACCAAAAATTACATAACCTCCTCCACCCAAAACAGAAAAACACATCACTCGAAGCAAAACCAAGATGGCTGAGAGGGCAACAAGCCCCAAGGCGACCAAGACTTGAACCTGAGCCGCATGTGTGTGTGTTTGTGTGTAACACCTGGTGACATACCTGGCGACGCACAAGCCACAAAACGATCAAATCATCTCAGTCGCATGGGGGTGCCGGTGGCCATTCTGATTTATGCAAGCAAATGCAAATGAGCAAGCTGTGTGCAACTGCTTGGATTGTACCTGGTACTGTTCAAAGCCTATTGGCCTGCACAATATGAATGCTGAATGCCATCATCTTGCAGTTGCTCCTCAAGAATTTGTATATAACCAAATATCCGTCATGAAAACGTGGGCATTCTTCACCTACGGTGTATACCCTACGTACCTCTATGTACCTCTATGTACCTCCACTCCTCACCCTCCCCACCCACCCCGAAACCAGCGCGTCTGAAGCATTCAGCGCGTCTGCTGCTTGGCCATCGTGCCACCACGAAGCCCACGCGAAGACCACGACATCGCCGAAGGCCACGTGCGACGCAGAGGCGTATTGGCCGATCTCCGCCAAGGAGATGGCCGCCTGTCGGTTTTGGTTGGGAGCATATGTTGGCCGTATGGGTTGACTCCTGGGGTGTCCCTGATTCTTTTGTTGAGGCGTATGGGTTGACTCCTGGGGTGTCCCTGACGACGGAGTCAAAGCCATGTGAGTTGGTTGAAGCTACCATGGTCTGCTTGGACCTTGAAAAAACACTCTTGGGTTCTCAGCATGATCCTTCATGTCTCAGACTGAGGGGGTACTGCACCGATGTTCAGTACGTCGACTTTCTCGGCAGTGAACCTGACAAAAGAACATTAGTGAATCATTAGTGTTCACCTGTGTCTTTTTTGGGGACATGCCGTCTAAGACGGCAGCTAGATGGAGCCATCTCATATGTTCGATCAACGTCTCGATCAGGCTGGATGGAGCCATCGATTCACGAACTCTTTTCTCTTGGAGCCATCATGTCGACGTAGACCTACTGCTCAGTGGCCGCGGACATGGTGGCCTACTGCTCAGTCCCACTGCTGTCTCCGGCCGAAACTTCAGGTGCCTAAGCCCTTGTCTGCGAGTCGTTTGTTCGAACACCCATGGTGGACGGGAAGGACGAAGGAACGAGCCTTGGCAACTAGGGTTTTTCTGGGCAACTCAGCTCTTTCATGGTCACCTCCTGGTGTTTGTACCACGCAAAACCTACAAGTAGGTTGCTGGCAGGCTGATGTAAGAAAACACTGTAAAATCACTGCGTTCTAGAAGCTGGCTCATCATCTCTCTAGGGCATCCCTTCGGTAAATGAACGCGTTCTGTACACCCACGGCCAATGTGGGTGATTCCCTGGTCCTTGAGTGCAGGTCATGTTAAACCCTGCTGTGATAACTCTGGAGCTCCCCAACCTGTGCCGGACAAGCTGTCGCGGTGTCGATGAAGATCACCGAAAACAGGATGCGAGCACTCACGTTGAAGACCTGCTTGCTCATTGCCCGCTCTTGAGTCTCCTGCGCATTTTGCCACAGTGGATACAGCCTAAAGTAGAAAACGCATGGCCCAAGGAAACTGGAGGTGAAACCAAAGATCATGTGAAGTTTGCAGCTTCCCATTCCCAAGCCATCCATGTATAGAATATATACTTACACGGCTGGGTATCAATCGCTGTATAATAATGTATGTAACTAGTAGCTTCTTGTTCCTAGTAGTAAGGCCAGGAGCCCCGTTCATAGCGTCCTTGTTCGTAGCGATGCCCAATGGCTACTAGTAGCTTCTTGGTAGTAACTGTTCCAGGGGTCCAGTTCCATGCGTCTGGGATTCTTCGGCTTTCCAAGGTTCCATGGTCGGGTCCGTGAATTTAGGTCGACGTTGAATGGAGAAGCCGGCATCGCTGCTAGCGACGCTAGTTGGAGGCCATCGCTATTAGGTTGGAGGCCATCCCCCCCTTTAGGAAGAAGCTACTAGTAACAAGGTGCATCACCACTAGTAACAAGGGCATCACTACTACTAGCTAGAAGCTCAGGTGTCGTCTCCCGCTGCCAGTAGCTCTGTATGCGACCAAAAACATAAAAACGTCTCCTGCTGCCAGCAGCTTGCCAGCACAGTTAGACCAAAGCCGGTGTAGTAAATGATGTACAAGGTCCGAAGATTCCTGTGTTAGACCGAAGGGCATGGGGTGTGTGGAGGAAGCCATCCACTCTTGAACAACTCGAGTGGATGAAGCCAACAACAAAAATCCTGTCCACCCTGGAATTCCAGTGCACAAAACAGTTGTCTAGAGGAGATGTGTCCTGGCATTTCACAGTGGAATTGCTTGTCTTCCGGACTGTAAAAGAATCGTATATATCTGAAACAGCCTGTCTTATTGGTCCACAATTGATTGAATCCACTTCTCCTTCCCTTCCAGATTGCCCTCTCCAAACAAAGACAGTGATGCATGTATACGAAGATCATCAAGCATAGCTGGCTCAGGCTCGAGAGGGTCGGCTCGGTATAGAAGTTGTAACTCAGACCAGTCACGGCAATGGCGCTCTGGTGAATGAAGAGTTCAGTCGCCTCAGGATGACCAAATCAATGACTGAAGAGTGGGGAAAGGAGTCCAACATCGATGTTCGTACGGTGACTTCGATGTTGTTCGTACGGTGACTTCGATGTTCTTCGAGACACGTAAATCAGTCACTTTACATGGTCTTGGGACACATGTGAGGACCTACATCCGAAGGCGGACCAGGACACATCCGAATCACCTTGCAAGGAGCTTGTTTGACACCCCCTTGGCGGGACCTGGTACATTCTTCTTACCCATCTTCTCCATAGTCTTGGGCATCCAGGCAAACCACTGTAATCAGCTGGTAACCAGTGGTTACAGTTCGACTAAAACTATAGACGCAAGTCAGTCATGGTTGCTTATATAGTGGCTGCCTGAAGGCCTCTGGGATTGGGCCGCGCACCACGTCGCGCACCACCGTTGCGGTTGAACCGGCTTGTCGATGGACGAGCGTCGCTGAGAACCGGTGGAAGTGGTGGAAGGGTTGATGAATGGGCACATGTTCGGGGCTGCATTCTTGCCCTTCTGCTTTCAATGGGTGTTCTTTCAATGGCCATGCTGTGTTATACCTCTGAGCCATACCCTGAGCCATTCAAACATCACATCTCATGAATGAGCGTATGTGTATATATATATATATATTCTTGGCCACAAGAGACCACTGAGTTTAAGAGAACTGGCAGACGAGGAAACAAGTCGAAGACAAAGAACAAAGGACCACTGCCGTGTTTCTTGGCTAGAGCGATAGCTCTTACTTGCCATTTGGCTCCTCGAAAGATCTCTCAATTCATGTCAGTGGGTTTCCAACTTTGTAGCAAGCACACATTGAAGATGACGACCACGGAAACCGCATGTTCATGGCAATGGGATCCTGTGACCTTGCCCGTGTCTCAGACGGCTGTCAAAGAAACAAAGCTGTCCAAGTAGCATGTCGGTATGCACGACCTCGCACATCCCACAAGGCCTGTGCCACTTCTGCATCTCGGCCATCTTCGGGAGAAACTTCCATCCGCTTGGAGAAGTGGAAGCCGAATGCCTGGACAAAGCTCCTTGCCGGCGCAATTATGGCCTGCAAGTGTCCACGGTACTTCACCACCTGGACAGCACCCAGCTGGCACCGAAGTCTGATGAAATGTGAAAAGTCTGACGTTGTTTCAACCTCGACCTGGAAAAACACTCTCCATGTGAGTCGGGAGTGAACATCATTTACAGTCTTAATTGTATTCTCAAGTCTGTCAACTAATAAAGCTTCCTTTGAAAAGAAGCCAGGTGAGTCACATGATGGCCGAGGAAAAGCAAGTTGAGAGTCATGATCATTCCTGCTTCGAAGGCCATCGATAAACGAGGCCGATCCAATCAGCGCAGCTTGCCCTGGGATCTAGCAGCTTTGGCGCAAAATGGCCACGGGCAGGCGATTCCTTGAAAATGCTTTCTGCTTTTGCATGTCTTGTGTGGTCATTGGTCATCATAGCAAACAAGAGTTATTATCGAACTGAAGGTCTCATGATCAACTCTGAGACATGTCATGTTGCTATCCAACTGCAAAAAACTCAAGAGTTTTTTGATACAGAACATTGACAACATCTCTTACAGCGGTTCCACCCAGTGCGGATGATCCCTTCCTGGAAATAACATGGAAGTGGAAAAGCACCTGTTTGGTATTCGGAAAATGGTCTTCCTTTCGGGGCCATGCCATCCACGTAACCATGTGAGTTCCAGGAGTGTAGTCCTCCCTCCAGCGTCGAACGTGTTGATTCCATACAGCACGAGTTGCACGATCATCGCAGCAACGATTCGACTGTCAGCTTCTATCATTCACGTTTGGGCTCCAGTCGTACTTTCTGAGAAGGTCTTTGGGGTCTTTGAGGTGGGTCTGGGTGCCAGGAGGGTCCAGTCATACCGAACCTGAGGAGGTTGATTCCTGGGGGGCATCCGGGATTCTTGGAGACATGGTAATGCAAACGGTTCATTCATACCATATAAAACCCCTCTATTTGGCTGAAATGAACCGTCTACATGATATGATCCATTCCCAGTATATCCGGATACGGCGGTCATCGACGATGGCACCTCATGTCGACCGTACGCCAAGGGCACTGGCACGCCATGGGCACGCCAAGAACGTCGACCGTACTTGCACTGTATGAGAACCTCCCTTAGGGGAGGTTGCCCCCTGCTACTGCTAGTGAGGCAAGCACTTTTGGGTTGTTGAACAACTTAGTAGAAATGCTTTGGAACTGGCATGTTGTTCAGGAAGGGCGAATCAAAGAATCACGTGCAAATTTCCTTAGGTTGCGTGTCATCTACTTTGGCTGTGGTGCAAGGGGGATCGCTTCCGAGCATCCTCAGCATTGACCCATCCTTTCCAACCATCACTGCCTTTGGCACTGGTCAAACACAGTGAGGTACAGGACCACAGTCCTTTCATCATCCAAATTCTGGTTTTGAACATCGATGGATTCCCTACAGTCTGTCTGCCTGAAACCAAACACGCCACAGGAAGTCCGAAAGTGTTGGGCTGTGATTCATCGTGTTGGTTTGTTAAACCGGTTCTCGAATGGATTCCATCCAAGTCATTACCCAAGTTTCAGGCTATCAGACAAGGGGCAAACCGCCTGTGATGGTTGGAATGTCTCAAAAACAACAAAACATACAAATCCTACATATTGGCTGTTCCCCAACGTGTCTGGATTCCGGATCATTTGACCAATTCCCCATCAAGCAATATGGGAGATTTCTACAGCAACATGCTGTAACATGAGTTGTTCAAGTCGACAAATCAGTCACCTTTCAAAAATTCTGGTAGTACAAAAGGACAACCATGTATATATAACCACACTCAAAAGGATTGAATCCGCAAAGCCTCCCTGAAGTCGAAATGGCGAGTAACTGAGTTCTGACTGCACCGATGTTTCAGTTCGGTTTACTCAGGAAACAATCATTACTAACAGTATATTCCAAGAGAAGCGCCTGTTATTTCACCAAACAACAAAAACCTTTGCACATGCAGAACACATCACAAACTTGATGATGCTTTAGACTTAGATCGACAATCCGTCTAGCATTGTTCGATCTTCCAACGGGCACGCTCCAACGCGGAGGAGTTGTTTAAAAAGCGGCTACAGTACCTCATAATTGCTATCAAATCCGTATGACTTATGGAAAAAAAGAGCACAACATAAACACGCTCTTAAACACACACACACACACACTTGCAACTGACTGCAATGCACACCCCGCGGTAGACTGTGAACAAGAACAGCGTACAGTGGCATACAAATCCCGTGGATCTCACACTAGAAAAACAACACATTGACTTCGAGCAATCCGATGGGTCTGTTTTATGACATTTTTTAGTGTAGGACACCCCACTGAATGGTCCTGGTTGACTTCGAACACAATGTGACTTGCTACCATGACACACTCACAGCATACCAAGTCTCCCATCTGCCCCATCTCCGCCCAAACGACGAACGCCCAAGCTTTGTAGGTATTTTGTTCGCCATAGTTTACCCTAAAGCGTGAAGTGTAAAAGTCTGCTCAGCCACTGTTTATCCTGAAATGTTGACTTCGGTGGATACACACAAACAGCACCCAGCAACATTGACGCTGACACTGACAGCTACTCACAGGCAGGGCGTTGCAATATGGTCACCAAGCACGTTCGTGATGTCAATCGCATGGAAGTCAACAGTTTGGTGCGAGGCCATGCTGCTAAAGCCATGCAACCAGGGGCCTCAGCATGAGGCAGGCTTCGTCCACTGTCAGCTTGCGGTTCGCTTTAGAACCGACTTGCAGAGCGACCTGTTCGCTGACTCTACTGGCCTCTCACATCCAACTCCAGGGCCAGGCTCCAGTGACACGGCGAGGCTGCTGCCCAACACGGAAAGTGACCCATCCATGTGCGGTGCACGTACGTTTCTGTGCCAGTTCGCCAAAGAGGTGGACACAGAAAATGAAGTCGCACCCTGGCTTGGCCGCCCGGAATGAGAGGACCCATGTGCCCGGGAAGCGCTCTGCCTCGCTTCCGATCAGAGCCCACCATCCAGGCTGACATGAAACTGAAGATTGACTGAAGAATGCCCAGCTCACACTGAATCGAAGAATGACACATTGCACTGACTCTCCTGGAAGCCTGACAGGTAATGAAGGCAGGGCCAACGCACCATATTAGACAATATATTGAGAAAAGCCAAGAACAAATGGCTTCCAGTCGAAGAACTGTGACAAAACATGACACAGACACACACCTCTAAACAGGCACGTCTCAAAACAAACTGTATGAAACACGCAACCATGATTCTTAGGGAGCGCTGTATAGCAAACCTATATTATCAAATATCTGTACCGATCGGTGTATATCTGTCACTCATGTTCAAACACATGCAAGCCCCTAAAACATACTTAAATATAAAAAATTATATGTCTTGATCAAATCCATACTATACTAGACTTATTATTCTTGTAAATATCATTTTAGTCAATCCACTTTCTCCCACCTTGGTCGAGCGCGGTAATTGGAGTGGGCCGGAGGATGGGCGAAATGTCTTCGCAAAACCAAACCGCAGTGGGTTTTCGGGGTATTGGTGATCACCTCCCCGCACAAGCTTCAACGTGTTCGATTCTCTAAATCATTGGAAGCAAACTGCTCTCTATATAGTTAGTTGTTTTCGTTTGTTGCAAGGATTGACGATTGAACAACACCAGCAAATCCAGGCTTGTCAGCGTCTTTGTGAACCCTTGCTGCGCTCAAACTCTTCCTCATATTCATCCCTTGATTTCGTGAATGAAACTTTTGTTCCACAACCACACGACAGCAGCAACAATGAAAACAAACATAAACACCACCATGTCACGCCCACCAACAAATAATAAACAACAACTTTAGCCACTCCCTGTAGCTCCCAGGCTCTCTATTGAAAGGGGAATATGGATACCTTCGGCTCGATAGCTCCCTCAGCACCAGTTAGACAAAGAAGTTCAACTTTGGAACGACTTCCTCCAGGAATTCCATGACGTAGCCGTATCGTTTGTGCAGAAAAACCACCGGTCGAGTCGGTCGAGGTGTTTGGCAACCGAGGTAAACCCAGAACCCGAATCGATTCTGCCCAGGTCTCCAGGCACAATGGAGGTCTCGGTGGACACCTTCACCGTGGAGGTCGGTCTCGCTGCTTCGCTCGCGGTCGCTTCGGGTGCCTCGGCCGCGTCTTTGCATGGCATGCTCAAACAGAACCACGGTCAGGGCGGTGGTTCGAACGAAAGTCAACAAAGCGTTGTTTATGTGATTTATTTGTTAAACAGTGGGTCATGTTAGACGGACTGTGAGCGAGCACACCAGGATAGACCATGATAGACCAGCCAATTCTCCTGTGTGACTAGTAAGTTGTCTATTTCTTGAAGCTCCGGGGGTGTCTCGGAAACCAACCCAACCAACGCAACAAGCTCAATCAATCTGAAACAACTCCTTTTCTAGCAGGTCCAAACTGATTGAAGGGAAGTTCCTGTGGGTCTTCTCTTAGATCAAGCTCCTCCATGAATCCACACAAGTTAGAAGTGAACGGGCCAGCTCGTGTCTGAGTGTCCGACTGTGTGTCTTCACAGTCTGAAGATGTCCAAAGTCAGACTTCCTTTTTGGACGCTTCAGTCTTGACCAGCTCCATTCCCCAACAAAAAGGCGCGAGAACCACGGTCCCTGTCCGTCACGGCCTTTCATAGGCAGTGACGTCTCCATTCCCAATAGTTTTTTTGACCAGGTTCTGTGATCTTCTATCTGCTTTTGCTGGCACAGCGGCTGTGAGCGCTGTGCCAGTGGCTGAGCCAAAAGCGGTCTTCGGTAGATCTGGGATCACGATCCTGAGAAACGCTCAATGGACCCTCACAATTTCTAGGGCTCCAGTCGTAGCTTCTAAGGAGGTACGACTGGAGCGGAAAGGGCTTTTCCGTCGAACCAATCATCGAGTCATCTTAAGGGACCTGTCAGGGGGTCTTAAGGAGCGTGGCTTTGCATGGTGTGACTGAGGAAAGTTTCACCCCCTTTGTTTCCTTTGCATGCAGCCCTTATTCCCTACTAAGCACCAGTCAGATGTCTGGCTATCTTCTCAAACACGCAGCCTATTAACCTTCTGTGACTGCCAATACATTGGCAGGTTGTTTCTTCAAGGGATCGGAGCAAACACGCCACCCGTCACGCCACCCGTCAAGCCTCGGTCGTTCGGAAGATGGCCCCGTGCTCGCGAATTCCCCTCGTCCCCAGGGTCCTCGGCCCACCTTTCAGGAAGCTTTGAAACCTGGGCCGCAGAAAACAGGTGTGACGATCACAACAAACAAAAACACCATCGCTCGCAGCTGTGACGCACACGCCAAGGGTGAAAACACACGATGGTGACGATCAAAAGACCGCCACCCGACTAGTCTTAAGACCCTCAGTTTTGGGATTTGCTGTCAGCTTCGGGGAAATATGGGGAAATACACATCACTCTAAGTACCACCAGGTTTTCGACAAATGGTTGCTTTCTCCTGAAACAAGGAGTGGCTTTGTACCACTGCGACGATTATATTTAAAAAAAAAACTGTGATGCTCTGTGTCTCTTACTGTAATATTGGATGGATTCGAATCAGTAACAGTGTGTTGTAACTATATAACCTCACCAAGTGGAAGTGGTGATCTGACATCTACGGGAGCAACACACCATGCGCTTCCTATTTTGAATTCCTGGGGATCTGGAACATCGCCACAGTGAAGTGCATCGGGGCCCACCCGTCGAAGAAGCCGACGCTTCGCCCACGAACCGTCGGCCCACAGCGCACCGGCGGAAGAGCTCGTTGCTGGGCCTCAGGTCTGCACCGAGAGTCTGACCAAGCAGACCCTCCATGTACAGGACCAATGGGACTGGAATATATGGGGTGTGTTTTGAGATACGGAGACCTCCCAGGCAACAAGCCACTGGCTCTACCGATTGGTTGGGCCTATTACATTAATACACACCCATATGTCTACATTGACACCCCCAAACCACTCCAACTGATTGGCAGTGCCCGGACAGTAGTACAAGACAAAACTGTTCATGGGACTGGCATGAATGGATTTGGCATGTTTCTCCTCTTTCAGTTTCATGGATGGTCTGGGGCGAATCCGTACAACCCTCGAATTCAGCGAACACACCAAATGCCCATGGACAACTAACACCTCCAACTATGGAGATATTTGCTGGCTCAGGGAGAAACCTTTGCTCTGCCCAGCCTTTTGGTCGGCTGAAATCCTGTTTTCAGGTGTGAAATCCCACAGATGGCTGGTTTCCACGAGGGTGAAGCTTGTAAGTAGACCATGGCCGCCTTCTTACAAAAGAAAACGTGGGATCTCGTCATAAATATATAGAGCTATAAGACCACAGTATTGCTCAGAAACATCCACTTTGTTTTCACCCCATCACAGGCACAAACAAAACCGAGGGACCGATGAACTGGTTACGTAATAATATCCAAAAGGTTCTCCGTGGTTCTCCACATGTTTTCCGTAACACCTCATTCTTATCTCACCCTTGGGCTCCAGTCGTACCTTCTGAGAAGGTGGGACAGGGGTGGCTTTGGTCATACCCTTGTAGGCTATCTCAATCAATTCATTCACATCAACCCGCCAGCTTGGTCCAAAGCCACTTCGTTCCCTGGTCCATCCAATTGCTTCACTTTGTTCCCACTTGGGCTTGAAATAGAAGAAACCTCCTAGGCCACCTCCGAAGGTTCGTGGCCTTCAATAGACCAGTCTTTCTTAGACAGGGTAGAGTCCGAAGCTGAAGCCCATCACCCCAGGTCGCTCGCTCGCTTGTCCTGCCCAGGTCCCCGGCGGCATCAGCGCCTCTCCTCCGGAGCCGGTGGAGAGGCGAAGGGAAGTTGGAAGCCGGTGGGGGAGCAGGTGTGAGGTGTGACTTTTGGACACTTGTGATGTATCTTTTTTTGGGACACTGGGTGGAGTATGGTGGAGTTGGAAAGTTATGGAAAGTTCAACTTGGACATTGTGCAACTTGGAGTTGGCGGATTTGGAAAACGGGAAAAACATGCAGAAACTCTTCGGATCTGGCAACACAAACATCACCCTAAGCAAACAAAAAACAAACATTGAACACTTGATGAAACTTGCAGGTGGTGCTTCGCCTCTGAAAGCAATGTCTGAAACAATGACAACCACTCTGATGACAGTATATATGACTATGACTATAACTCTCAACGGTTTCGGGGGACACCTGGCTGGGTTGGCTGGAGCACTAACAAGTCAACGTCTTGCCCTCTGGTCGAAACAGAGACGTGGTGGGGTCCCTCAGTGATCCTTTTGATTCGCGAAATACACAATGGTACAATAGCTTCAAGCTGTTGAGCTCAGGGTTTCTGTGGTTGACAGTTCCCCAAATGTAGCAGTTCTCTGTTTCATTTTGCATCCTCATCACAAGGAAAATCGGCAACCCTGCTCCTTCAAACACTGGAGTTGAAAATAAAACATAGCCAGGGTTTGGAAGGATATCTTCTTATAACTCTTCCTATGTGATCATGTGGTGGCTGTGTTAGCCTGGGGAAGGTACTTCAAACATCTCCAAACGTATTTCCCTGCGCTCTACATGCTAGAAAGGTTGCAAAAAATGGTCCCATCACTTCCTTCTGGAGCCGTCATGAGCTTCACCAATCCCTGCTCTCCATGAGCTGAAGCCGTGAGGGCACTTGAGGGCACATGCTGCGCTGCATGCGGATGACCGAATCGGAACCGTCAGCTGGCACACCAATTCCGTAGATCCCAAAACGAATCTCTTGGAACGACGTAGATCCTGCCGTTTGCTTACTGACGTTTGCTTCGGAACTCGTCCGCATCGCCGCTTCAGGTCTCAAAGGCGAATGCCATAGGTCTCATGATCTTTCGAGAAGCTCAGTTGAGAGGTGAAGCTGTCTTTTTTCGTGAAACTGTTGAGGGCAAGAGCCCCAGTCTTGTCGAATTGATGCTGAAGCCCACACACAGCGGCCCTTTTGAGCCGCAAAATCACATCTGACGGAGGCGATTGAATCTGCCTCAAACCCTGGCACCGTTTCCTGGAGCACGCTACTAGGGGCTTCTGGCATCGCTACCAGGAACAAGAACGCTCCTGGGGGCTCCTGGCATCGCTACTAGGAACAAGGACGCTGGGCTCCTGGCATCGCTACTAGGAGCAAGAAGCTACTAGGGGCTTGGCACCGCTACTAGGAGCAACAAGCTACTAGGGGCTCCTGGCATCGCTACTAGGAGCAAGGACGCCACTAGGGACTCCTGGCATCGCTACTAGGAGCAAGAAGCTACTACCCGCAAGCCGCAAGCAAAGAAACATGCTCAGGCTTTGTGCTATGAGATGCATGGATGTTCAAAATCAAACATACCATGTAATCCCAGCTAAAACAAACACATACCTGGAATACCTGGCAGGAACCTGAACATATGCCTTTTCGTTAATCAATCTTCAACAGATTGCCGCCAGCTGCACGTCCAACTCGCCATGCTTCGCCGCTCGCTGTTTTTTCCTCAAGACGTCGACACGGAAGCCACCCTGTAGAGTCAAAGCACCACAGTCTGTACAAGGTCAGCGGGGCCCCGGTCGATTGGACAGGTTTCTGGGGCACGGTGAAGTCAGCGTCGCCGGCATTGCCGCAGCTTGGGCCAGGCCACCATTCAAGAATTCATCCCAGTACTACAGGCATACCAACCCCACGTGTTACCTGTAGCAAAGGCGTGGTTTTCAAGTGGTACCTACAACATGTGTAAGCAAACATGTGTGGCAAAGGCTTGGTTTTCAAGTGGTACTTACAACAGGTGTCAGCAAAAATGTGCAACCACAACACATCTGAAAAGTGTTCCTGTGGAGATAAACAACATGTGTTTGATGTTTTTGGAAACTTTTTCACAGAATTCAAACAGAGCTCTTTAGGCTATTCAGTAGAACAGAATGAATAGGATATCAAATAACCAAAGATTCTAACTATAATAGTTAGAACTTCATTTAACTAATAGTCAGGATTTATGAGATTAGATAATAGTCAGAACTCTGTCTAACCTCATCTTATACAGCCAAATTCGAACACTTTCAATTAAACGTTCACACCGATCCCAACCGAACCGAAACCTTACTGATCTATTTGGGAATTTGGGAACAAGTGCATCGCTTCTAGTAACAAGTGCCTTACTAGTAGTAACAAGGACGCTACTAGGAGCACTATACGGGGAAACCGTTGACATACTCTGCAGGTCAATCCCAACGACGACTCCACCGTGGAGCGCAGGGAGACGTGGCGGAGACGTGGCCAGGCCGGAAACTCATCCGCTGGAAGACGCGCTATCTGGGGAGGATCGTTCTCAGCTTTTCCTGCCGGGCCCGCAGGGCTGAGCTTTGTGGGAAATGAGGTGAGCATTGGGCAAACTGGTTGACAGCCCCTAGGGCTTCAAGTGTGGGGGGCCCCGGGTGCTGGAAGGGTCTGAGGAGGTACGACAGGTGCACATCCAGTGGAAATATCACGTTCTGTCGGTGCATGAGCACCCAACGAATCATTCTCGCGACAAGTCCGATAACAAAAACAGTGGACTCTTCCTGGATTAAAACGTGAACATGTTTGGTCTTGGTGTGGGGCCTGGGATAGTGTTGATGAATAAAACCTCCAGTGTGAAGAGGTTTCATCTGGTAGTTTATTTTTTCCCATGAATTGTCTTATTACTCAACAGTCTAGAGAGCTGCTGTGATTGAGGTATGTGTCCACGGTGTTTCTTGGCGGCCTATCAGAACTGCTGACTCGGCAAAGTCCCTCCCTTGCTTGGATTTCACCCCAAGCTCCCTTCACAGCAGGCCATGACTGTTTCAGCGTTGCTGCCACCGAATCGCTGACTGACGGACCCTCTGTCAGGATTCGCTACGATGTGCAGGATGACTCCAACCTCAGACTATTGGTTTTAAATATATATATATATGGAGATATGAAGCTGGGATGCCTTCCCAAACATTCATCAACTTGCCCATGAACTATATGAAACTCTTCAATCTATGAGGGCTATAATTACCCCAATGAATCAACCGTCTATACCCATTGAACTCAGCCTGTTTTCACCGCTCCGTGGAGCTGTTGCCTTCTGCTCCTCGCTGAGGGCTTTGGGATAAACGATGTCGAAGGTGATGATCAGGTCGCCCTGTAGCGCCGAAACTGGAGGAAGCAGGCGTTGCAGGTGCTTCCGAAATGTTCCGGTTCGAAGCAGGTGTGAGTGTGTGTGTTTCCCTCCCAAAGCCAGCAAGTGAGGAATCCTACCCATTAGAGATAAACAGATTAAGTGCCCCAGCTCCACGAAATCACGAACAAGTCATTTGTAAGGGCTCCCTTGGTCCCTTTCCGACAAAGCTTGATCCAGTTGTTTAAGCTCCATTAGCTGCCATTAGCTCGTTGAGGCGCTACAGTATTCCCTGTGGGTCTTAAGACTATATATATATATATTTATACGAATGATCCGACTCCGACTCTGGCTCGCTGTCAGAGAGTTCAGGAATGCACAGCTGTGGGATCCAAATCAAACATCTCCTTGGACAGGCACTGGGACAAGCAAAACATGCGTCAACAAGTTGAAAGAACACCTCTATAATTCAACAACTTCGGCGTTTGAGAATCGGACCCCGTAGAAGCTTTCGTCAGCGTTCGCAATGGTGGGATTATGCGGTGCATTGTCTTTTGACTGGGTCTCGGACGAAAAGAACAACATCAGGATTAAGTTACAATGAATTGACAATCCTTTGCTCCCTGCAGGACACAACAAAGCTCACTTACACTTACAAAAAATCCTGCATCCACGACCGGTCACCCCAGAACGCGTTTTCAATCGGCACATTTGCATATAAACGTTAGGCCTGGCTGGGTCTCGTACAGATCAAATCTAGCCCTCTCCTGGAAGAAAGGCCAACAGTTATGGATTTTGCGCGCAGACCGGGGACACACACACGCAAATTATCGAAGATGAAACAGAACCGGTGCGTTTTTGTCGGTTTGGTTGTGGCCGGGGCGGAGCAACCACCACCACCGACGCACTAAAAAAGGCCAGAGCCACGTCAAAAGTAGGGCAATGCGCCTTCTGGGACCAAGGCAGTGAGTCTCGGTGTTATTATTCCCAGACGCTCCATGGGACTGCCATATATGCCTACCAATTGGCCCCCCTGGCACCACCCCAACTGATCGGCATATATGGCATATATGGAGTGTTTGGGATTGAAGCTCGAAGACACAAAAGACTTAACTTTGCGGCTACATCTGAGTTCGCAATGCCCACCGGCATTTTCTCAGTCTGGCGGACCTCCCTTACAGCCCATTATAAAATAATGTTCAAAAGCATTTGTCTCTACAAGAGATGTTCACATGGAATATCAACATCAAGAGCGCTGCCTGGTGCGCGGATGGGGGAATGTGTGACAAGCAAGGGCATGGCCACGGACTGCAATTATTGTCTTTGTGGTACCTGAAAGGAAACCCTTTTGGCACTCCTATCCATGTGGCTCTCTGCATCCTTTTTCTGCTCCGACTCCTTTCAGTCGCCCCTATCTCTGACCAAGCCCAAGCCCCAGCCCACCCCTCACGTCTCACGGCAAAGCACGCTGGGCGTGGCCTTCTCACCGGGACACTTGCTCGAAGGCATACCTTCGCCTTTCACCACTTTGGCGTAGTTGGGAGTCACCTCGGTCGACCGTTGCGTTGTTCGTTTGGCCGCCTTCGGTCCGTGGGGGGTTCGGACCTGGGTTCGGTGCCATGGCAAGCCATCACAGGCGGTTGGAAGCATAGCCTAGCACCGAAACATCATTAGTGAATAATCGATATAACTATACCATCGACACATAGCCCGACCCATTTCAGGTACCAAAATGGTTTCGAAATGTAAATCATAGCCTAGCGAAACTCCAAGTTAATAATATATATATATACCTATAGAACCTGATTGACCCTGTTTTGGTATATAATAGCTCCGAGGTCCGGCTGCGGGGAAGAACTGGATACTCCGGCTACCCTCATCACCCCCCCAAGCACCAGCTACAGATTCTCTGAGAAGTGTAAACAGTTCCAATAAGAGCGGGCTGTCATCCCAGCTTTACTGTCTTTTTCTATATCTGTTTATGGGTGAAGTGGACCAAAACACCTGACACAACAAGGCCACTCTGTTTGAGGGGCCCTGGGCTTTGTTCGATCAGTTAAGGGCATCCATTCGATCAGTTAGGGGGCTCAACAGAAAGGAAAGAAACGCCAAGCTTTTGAGTCGTTGGATTCTTTCCACTGCCACTTTTTGCCGCTTTTCCCTGACTCCCATGTCCATCTTTTGCGGGACAACTTGTCTTGGTTTCCGCGAACTTTGCACGGGTTCGCAGAGGAGATGCCTCTCGCTGCCCCATGCCCCCTGTTCAGGTGATCCTCCTGGTCGATAGAGCTGGCATCTTCATGGAAGTGGACGCCCCCAGATCAGTAGAGGACAGGTCTTCCGAGGGACCAGAACGTAAACTTTCATGAGGATGTTGGAGGGGCATCTTTCCTGGGAAAGTCCTGTGAAAAACCAAAGGCGTCAAACTGTCTCTGGTCACCCATTGTCCCCAAGAGCAGGATGCACAATATTCTGAAAGTGATAAACCATGAAGACCAGCCATGGCGAGGTGAGCCAAACTAAGACAAGCCATGTATAGAGCTAAGTGGTTGATTTATCTCAAGACGCACCTGTTGTGAACATATTTAGTTAATGTGGAAAACCGGTGTCTCCTGCTCTTCATCTCCAGACCGGACTGCCCCTGTCGACAGACACCTCGGTTGCCCGGTCGCCGCCTCAGTCGGTCGAACGGTCCGACACCTTCGGGTCGTCACACACCGCGGTCACCACGGTCTGCGCGCGCAGACCGGGGATGACAGAGTCACGAGTCGCGAGTCACAGGGAAGAAAAGACCAAACCAAGGGGCCATGTCGCGGATGTTGACCCGTAAAATGCGCTCCGCAGCGTCTAACATCTTCACATCCACCTGCCAGCCAGCTGGAGCTGCCGAGGTCGAACGGTCCGAATGGTCGGAACGGGGTGGGTCAGTGACCAGTGGCGAAGGAAGTAGACCAACTTTTTGGAGAAAGACATGATCGTCCAAAAGCCCAAGGGGCTAGGTGACCAGAGGGGTGACCGATTGGCTGAGCCAATCTGTCAGACTCCGGCAGCCAGTAGGCCTGAAGAGGCAGAAATCCTACCAAATATCTCCAACAGTTAGCAGATGGTGACGCACTGCAATGTCTATAGAATTGTCTGGACCTTGGACGCATCCGGGATCGCCGATGACCATGCATCGATCTGCGACGAGACGCGATCGGTGCCGAGCTGCCAGGCCAACGCGAAAAGCGCATCGATCCAGAAAGGGGCACCATTTCCATAACATCGACTTGATTAGTGCTGAGCATATCCAAAGGCATGAGGGGATGTAGAGTTTGTGGAAGAACCTTCTGAATGTGGGGCCACTTGGTTAGTCAAACAGTGGAGCCACCGGCTTTTGCCTCCTCCTCTTACGCAAAAAAACAGCACTTCAGTTACCATACAAATGTGTAGTTGTAAGTTGTAACTTTATAATTATCTAAATATATAAAGAACATAAAGATGTTACTGCTTCAAGACTCATGTTGGGAGATTAATTTTCTGTGATTGTTAGTTGTAAGATGTTGTATATAAATTGTAATATTCGGTGATCATACCCCAACTGTTTTCTCCACACCTACCACGCTCACTCCCAACCCTCCCCAGGAGAAAAAGAAAACGCCGTGCCTTGCAGCCCGTCAAGGCGTCCACCAAAGGGATCGTCTTGTGGTGCAAGAGGTTGGAGCCCTGACTGGTCTCGTTTCCCGAAAAGAAGTAATTAGCTACTAGCTACTAACCTATAATAGCGATGGCCTCCAAACCTAAGAGCGATGGTCTCCAACCTAATAGCAATGGCCTACAGAGCGATAGCCTCTAATAGCGATGGCCTCCACCCTAGTCAGAGAGTAGGCCGGCCACGAGTAGGCCATGAGGGGTGGGATTCAGCACGGCGATCTTAGCTCGAACGTTCTTGAGCATGACAGGGGGGAGAATGGGAGAATGGCCGGGGGAGGGAGGGACAGTGAGATACTCCTCCACAACTGTAATTTGGACAGTAGTATCGATCTATACTTTTGAACAGTTCTTGAACATGACCACTGCGCTCATGGACGATTCCTATCGGCTTGCCCATCAGCTTCGAAATCGACTTCCTTGGCTTGCATGGTGGCAACCAAGTTGACGTGCTGTTTCCCAACCAATTCATTCTCAAACATCGCCTGGGGCCGAGACTAGCCCCCCCAGTGCTGCCACCCACTAGCCCCCCTACCTCCCGGGTGAAGACGTTGTGGCGCTTTTCTCGGATCACGAAGATCACATCCTACCATCGGGTGTGTGACGCACCGTCGGTGTTTCGCACGGCGGTGAAACCCCGGGGGTTCACTGGAAACCTACTGGAAACCTACGGGTACCTGTCTTCCGTTTTCGTGGGATGTGTGAAATCCATGGAAGGCTTCGGCAAATGATGACAAAATGGAGAAGATCCGACATCTGCTGCATGAAACATGGAGAAGGTCCGACATCCAGTTCACTTGTGGTCACATCCAGCATCTCAGATATGTATCATCCCTATGCCAATGATATATGATATATGTTTAGCTACATTGGAGTCGTTTCAGGCATCAATATCAGTAATTATAATTAGTAACATCCTTGGAGCGGACCTGTTCTTTTCCAGGCTGAGTCATTCGGATGCCGTCTGTTTCTTCTTGTGCTCATGTGCTGGAGTTCCGTGCAGGCTTTATCAAGGGCCTTCCAAGGCTTGGTGTCATCAAAGGCCTTCCTTTCGCTGTTTGTGGCTCACAGGTTCCCTTCTGATGTCTATTCCTATTCAACTCACCGGTCCCAACATGTCTCAACATCCATGCAGAAGCCTCCGTGCATCACCGGAACGCATCGTACGTGTTGGTAGAACAGAGTTCTGTTTAAACGAACAGGAAGCCTCCGATGCAGTAGACCTTGAATAGCTGTTGTAGCCAAGCTGTTCCGCACCAGCTGACCGGTCCACTGAGCGCCACACCGCGCGGTGGACCGGTGCCTGCGATGCGGTGACGCCGGTTCGAACCGGCGATTCGCGGACCCGCGCGAATCGCGGCGCCTGTGCCTTTCCGGTGGCAGCGATTTCATCGCCTTCGCCCGGGAAGGTGACCTGCGTTCGCAGAGAGAGAGAGAGAGAAGGAAACACGGAGGGCGACGAAAACGACCACGACAGGGGGGGCAAGGACGATGAAGAATGCCAGACGGTCCCCCATGCATTTCAAAAGATTTCATGTTTTTTTGGGGTTAGGACTTGGTCAGTTGCCTGTAGATCACAAGTGGTGGGTCTGGCGCGAAGAGTCATGAAACAACTCCAACTGAAGGCGCTGGTTCCCAGTGAAAACACTGGAAAAGGTTCTGGTTGAATAGCTCAAAGACCAAATGTTGCGAAATGACCTTGACTTTGGCTTATTTCATGAAGAGATCTGAAGATGATCACCTGCAAATCTAACATGATACATCATAATACATCATGATACAGCACATCAGTCTGTTCCATGTTTCCTTTCTAGACATCCGGAACCAACAGAAAACATCCCAAACGACCTCCGGACCAAATTCGCGGAGAACGGCGGATGAGTCAGTGGGACTGTCACGCGGAAGAACACGCTCCACGCGGAACACGCTCCACGCTCTCCGCTGGCCTTGGTACCTGCCTTCCATCCGGGTTTGATGTTGACCTCCAAGACCGCCTCGCGCCAGCGAAGCGAAGATGTGGAGCCCTCAAAGGCCCGCCTCCCACTGCCGAACCAGTGGAAACGAATCTTTACGCTTTTTATCATAAGGTCAACAAGGTAGGGTGGGTGGATGGTGGATGACTTGGTTGAAGTGAACAAGTCATCCAAGTCATAAGTGCAAGGTGGGGTCGCCATAGTGGCTATAGTAGTGGCTATAGTGCAACAAAGAAACACCTTAGAGCCACTTGTTTGCTCCTTGCAGGGGGGCCGTGACATAACGTGTGTGGTGACTCTACCTTTTGCGTGAACTCAACGATTGGCCCTGAAAGGGCACAGCTCTCTCTCTCTCTCTCTCTTTCTTGGCATTTACAAACATTGAGATCCTCTATAGATAATTTATAGTTAATTACAGTAATTGTTGATCTGCCTAGCAATACCTGTCTCCTCTAACACCTTGCGAAAGCCAGTGGAGCTCATTGCAATGGTTTGACTGAAAGGGTGCAGTATTGTATTTCCAACATGCCCAATAGTTTGGAACTGTGAAGGCCAAGCAAACTTCAACCTCCTGTAAAAGTGGCTCAGAAGTCGTTTCCTTCAATTCTTAAAGTGGCAGGGACTGGGGCAAAGCGGAATTGGTTTATCCTTGAATAATGAACAGTTAACAGGGCCATGATTACTGAATATGTTTGCATTGAGAATCAATGGAGCGGGAATGACAAAACCAATATTGTCATCACGAGGCTAACCGTTGTTCCTCCTGATCTTTCCCTGGGGATCCACATACCTTCTCAGAAGGTACTTGGGCCCTCCAAGCCGACATAAATTTATATAGTCTCCAATCACCTATATATAATTACCTCAGAAGGTATGTAGATCCATCGGGTTGGTAATATCTTTTTCCAGCCAGCAACGCGCACGTCAAACATCCAAATGCCTTTCCTTGCTTGATGGGATAAAAGCACATGTTCATCCAGCTCGTTGTGTGGTCAACCCAAACGGAAGCAACCAAAGCATATGCTCTTTGCTCATCCTCGAGCACAACCCACTCCCCAACACCCTCAACTGCTCTTTTCAACCAGGACAACGAACCTTTGATGTAGAATTCATGAATGATGGCTTATTTGCCTCAACCTTCTTGATTCATGTAACTGTCCATCAAACATCACCAAACTACCCATTTCATCAACAACACATCCACCGAGACTATCAACTCCTACTCCCAGTCTCACTGTGATCTTGGACTAGATTGAGCCTCTCAGCATAAACCATCAACATCATCAACTCGGGAAAAAAAAAACACCAAGATTGCTATGAATAAACATCGTGTTCAGGAAGGAACTGCCTGACTCCCTCTAGACTCTAGCTCCAAACGGCTCCCTTTCTTGGGGAATAGAGGGATCTTCAACTCAAGTCCCTCCACCGCGGAGTCGCCAGCGTCCTCGCTCCCGAACTACCCAACCGCGCGTCTCGGGTGTCCGCGGGACGTGTCGACGGCTCCTCAGGTTCACGGCTCAACGTGCTCGAGGATCTCTTCACCTTCGACGTCCGCGGATTCGGAGGATGGAAAGACACGGGTCCGCCGACAGCGAAGCCCAGGTTCTGAACCAAAATCACTCATGTCCAGACGCGACGAATGGGACTGGGACTGAAATCCGAGAAACGGCCAGGGGTGGTTGTTGCCAGAGGGGTCTGGCGTTTGGCGGCAAATATGACATCCATGAAGTCATGGAGTGTCGCAAGGTATGCAAGAAACCATCACCAAGTCATCACCACCGAGGTCAACCCCGAGGTCACCACCCGAGGTCAACCGGTCAACCGGTGTTTCATGTGACGTGTAAGGGTGGTGTGGTCCTGCGGTGGGGAAGAGCGCTCAAGGAAGAACACCAGGTGGTTCGGTTCCACACAGGCAAATGTATAACTTATATACCATAAAGTATACAGACTAAACATAATTTATTGATGTAGTTTTGGAACATGTAAACCCAATACCAAATAGAAAGTTGGGATTTAGTTTGGGAACTTAATACCAAATAAATAGAAACACACATCCCAACTAAAAATGTATATATTCAAAATTGTGCATAGACGCGAGTCACGCGAGGTTTATGTATATCATTTGCAGTTTGTCTTGATTCGATTGACCGACACATGCAAATGCACAAATTGCTCTGCTCAGTTCGAGGTGACAGGTGGCCAAAACCGCCGCCCAGCCACCGTTGAACGGTGCCTTTTTGGAGTCATTGGACAACTGATGGGACGAAGAACTACGAAGATGACTCATGGAAAATGGTGAACACAAATTAAATGACGATCCAAAACGGTTGAAAAAGAAAGAACAGGACCAGAACTGCACACTTTCTCCCATACCGAACCCTACGGAAAACCAAAAACAAATCCCAAATTCATTGGCCACCCTGACTCCGTTGCTCCAATCAGTCGTGTTCCTTGAGCCAAACCAATCCCAACCTTCATCTTCTTTGTTGCACCATTGAAGAGCTCCTGGAGAAGAACACATCGCATGAATTGGAGAGTTAAATGAGACGTTGTAGGGCCCTAGGCTCTCAGCAGCTGCCTCCTGAACATGTCCAAATAAATACGCAGAGTCCGCTCATGCAATCATTCAATTGTTTCATGCACCAAATCATGAAACATATTGAAATTGCTAACCTACAAGTGCCTGGTTTAAATTTGGTTTTGATGTGTGTGTATTTAATGTTTGAACTAACCCCAAATTGTTTCAGCGATCCCCACCCGTCACTGCGTGGTACAATTTCTACCCATTGACTCGACCCTGCATGTTAATCCTCCTCAAAAATAAATCTCCAGAACGATCCAGAACGCATTTGATAGAGTCATAAAAAAAAGATCCTTTACAGGGGCATTCTATAAAAAAGACCGTTCTACCAGCACCCTCACTGCTAGGTTGCCTTGGAGGCTTGGGTGGGAAGGGCCCGAATACAGGTTTCACCAATTCGGTGACCTGTGCAGGTTTCGGGTGATCCGTCGTCCCGTCCGAGGTGGACCAGCCCGGACCGGTGGATGTACGCATTGAGCTCCTCCAATGAGCAGTGAAGGTCAAAGACTGCGGGCCTGATCGACCGCAGGTCGTGTCTGGTGCCATGAAACACCCGTGAGAGATCGGTATCCAATGATCTCATTCTGTAATATTCTGTATACTTGTGTGTAGTATGTGTAGTTACTGGTGTAGTTACTTGTGTGTAGTATGCCGTTTCTCCATTCTGTGTAGTTTCTTTGTTGCTGTTTTAACGCCTGTGCAGCTTGAAGGCCGGGCCGTTCTTGCGTGCTCAAGGAACGCAGCCCTCCACATGGACAGGGGCGTTGCTGCATCTACAGGTCAACTTTGTGATGTGAGTCATAGAAAACACCATGCTTTTACATGAGAATCATGCACACACTCTTTCCGAGCTTCTGAAGTGCTTCTATTGACTTGAGGTGACTTGGGTAGGGCATGCGTGCCGCTGAATGAAGCTGCAAAGGGAAAGGAAGGCAAGGGAAGGGGAAGGGAAGGGAAGCGAAGCGAAGGGAAGGAAAAGGGAAAGGGATAGCAAAAGGGCAAAGGAAAAAGAGAAAGGGAAGGGCGGGCATGGTTGAGGTCATGGCTGGAGCGAAGTCGAATTGAATGATCTCTCGATCGACTGCGAGAACGCTTGAGAGATTGGCTGCTGTGGGTCGGGTACGGATCCACGCTCTGGGGGCCAGGTTGCTGGCCGGTGGACCATGGTGGACCTCCACTCCTGGAGGCCCTCTCTATTACAAAGATCCTGTTATGAACCAACTCCTTTGTACCCACTGCCTGTGAGCTGCACAGTCCAGTTCCCATTCTTGAAGGCACCATGGCTCGGCCAACCCGCACACCTTCCACCTCCAGAGGTCCAGTGTGACAGTGCCACCAGCAGCAACAAGTGGTCGCCCAAGTATTGGGTCTACGCACAGTCCACGGCTGCTCGGGTCGTCCAAGTTAGGGCTTCTTAGGGAAAAAACACAATCCAGACTCAACATAGAAACACCTCTCGGTTCAAATGAAAAGCACATCCAGACTCAAATCAAAGACACATTTGAGAGTCTCCACCAGCGACTCAAACAAAAAAATCAGAGCCTCCACTGGCTAAGCACCCAAGTCATTGGAGGAAACCAAATCCGACCTTGAGTTTTTTGCACTCGAGTTGTTCTTTTTTGTTATATTTTCTGAAATTCAAGTTGTTAGTTGTTTGTTGTGTGTTGTTTTTCTTGTGTTTCTGTCGTTTTTGAGGTGCTTTATGATGTGTTATGTTTGTTGAATTTTGCTGTTGTTCTTGATGACTTTGGACCTCTCCAATTGACCCTCACATGGAAAGACAAAGAAAGCAAGAAAGATGGAATAAAAATACCTACTGTAACCGTTGACATGCCACCATTGTGGAACGTATACATGGATGTAGTACATGACATGGGCATTCTACTGCCGAGACCCCAAAGCGTATTGGATGATAAAAACAAATAAGAACCACCTATTTCGAGAGCAAAGAAAGAGGGAACATGTCTTTTGCTTCAATCAAATGTCAGTTCATGGCCCATGGCCTGCCACACGATCCGGCATCCGCCCATTATTCGCAACAGTCCGTGAGACCTGGTAAGAAGATGTCATTGAGCATTCTGACCAGCTGACACTCTATATCACTCTATGCTGCAAAGCGGAACTCAACCTCACCACTCAACCATGCGAGGTTAACATCCCTTATATATAGGGATCTCTTCATTTTCAGGCCGCTTGACCACAAACATGTGGGGAAGTATAAACTTTTGCCCTTCGCCCGAAGTCCGCACCATCCAATCCCCCGGCCTGGGCGTCTGCTGTTGGCTTCCCATGCCACCCATCCCACCCATGCCCATGCCCATGCCGCTCATCCCGGGCATACCGCCCATGCCCATCGGACCCATGCCCATGCCACCTGCGTGAGACGGCACTGGCGCGACTCCCCCGCAAACCGCATGGAACCCCCCCAAAAGCACTGGGTTGGTATTCGGAAAATCGTCGAAACCACGGGTCAATTCTCAGGTTCTATGATAGTTGGTACAAACATGTGCAACCTTCCCCTTTCAACATGGGCAGGTGAAGCACATTCACACCCACACCCTGTCGTCTTCCTCTCTCTCAGACGGCAGCTCCTTCTAGACTTTGCTGTGTCTGACCTTATCTACAAGAACGGGATTTATCTGAAAAGCTGGCCATGCTGGAGATCAGGATGTTGATCTTTGATGAGTGGAGCACTGATTTTGCCCAAAGGTATGGATTTCTTGAACATGGACTATCTACCTACATTGGGGTGGTTTCAGGGTTCAATGCAGATAGATGTTCCATACATGGAGTCTCTGGGATGTGATTTAGAATAGATCCTTCTTTAGGGAGTTGTAGCAATGTAGCATCTTTCTCGCACAAAAGGCGCTTCTTCAGTCAAGCCTTTGTCCAGGTCTGGCGCAGTTTCCTTGTTATTTTGTTTTGCATCGATTACGCTGAGTTCCTTGTAGTTCTGAATCTGTCAGAGATGGAACGACCATCTAAGTAAGAGATAGACTTTGAAACTCGGTCCTCCATGGAATCTAAGGGCCACACATGCTAACAGCATGCAACATTCAGGTCAGAACTACCAGAACTACCAGAACTCGGGATCCTCATACTCTCCCACCTGGAGAGGTTTCCTTTCATTTTCACCGGTTGAGACTGAAGAGCCATCCGCTTGGTTGACCCCCCATCCATCTGAACCATCTGAACGATGGCTCACCGCACTGCCTGGCCCACTGAACATGCCAAACATGTCCTCGCCGCCAGCGGTCCGCGGCCCGGAGAGTTGGTCCGACTTGTCCGGACGCCAAGAGGAGTCCGGATCCCCAGACACCCAGACACTGAGACACTCCATCCCTAGACCTCCAACTAGCTTCTGAGGTTCGGGGGGACTGAGGGCCCGGAGGTGTAGGGCATATATGGTTCAATTATAGTTCACTTGAATATATGCCTACCACATAGACCCTCCAAGCCACCCTGATGGAGAATACGGCAGTCCTCGAAGGGCGAAGATTCACCGAAGGAGGACGAGCGTTGGAAGGAGTCCTGGCCGCCACGAGACGGAACGGGGCCGTGTTGGGCACCGCGACGCGCGACCTGTTCCAGGTCTGGTATGCATGTCCACTATCCAAAACTGTTTGAACTCTTTAAAATGTTCCTCAAAAAACCATGTCCACTATCCAACTGGTAAATCCCGTGTCTGACACAAAGGAGCACAGTGGGTCCCACATGCTCCTACCCCACCCCACTCACCGTGGGGGAACCACCCGCAGAGAACTCGAACCGGTCGCCTTGAAGAAGCGGGCGAACATGTCGTTGGGATCCTTAGACCGGCGGAGCCGCTAGACCGGTCCGCGGTCTCGGTCTCTCGGACCTGGGCGATCGGTCTAGATGGTCTGCCTGGTGACACGGTCGTCTCCAGCCCTGCGTTGTAGCCCTCGAAGTCGAAGTCTTTTTTTAAAGATATGTTTCATGTATAATTTTCATGTGGTGTGGTGTTATATGAATTTGTATGGAGAGTTTCAGCGGCTGAAACCAACTAAAGCCTTCTGGTACAAAAGATAAGCCTTGTTCTTATGAAGTATTCTGGGCGGTTTTCCTACCAGAAAGCACCACCATGGCGAAAGTCTAAAAGGGCTTACTGGTCCAATCATCGAACATCGGCACCTCCAAAATCAAGCCAATACGGTGTATGTTAACCAGCTAGCAACTCTCGCCGTTTGGAAGGCCTCACCGAAAGTTGCCGTCGTGTGGGATGCATCGGTAGAAGAGCTGGGTGTTGATTTGAATAGGGATACGACTGCTGGCCCTGGCTGGGTAGACTGGTCGTTTATCTCCCAAACCTTTCAGGTGGTTGCCTGGGAGGTCTCCCTAGTTTGAGCCACACGCCCAAGATGTCTCCGTTGCATGGATCAATGCAACCAACCCATGGACGCCCGTACAGCTGGTACAAGTATGGTCTCTGTCAACCCCATATACGCTCCCTAGGGCTCCAAGTAGCTTCTGAGAAAGTGTTTGGGTTGGTTTCGAGGATCCAAATACCTTCTGAGGAGGCACTTGGAACCCTAGGGACTATAAACTTACCAAACCAAAATCTGCTTCTGAGTCTCTCAGTGACCTTGTCCAGGCCTTTAAGTGCCTACAAGGTCACTTTGAAGAAGCAAGTGACCAACATGAGTTGAAGTCATGGAACCTGGACGGGGCCTTCTAGGCCTTCTAGCCCAAAACTGCACAGGTGCCTGCACCATCTCTGAACTCCCGGTGTGCCAGCAGCGACTGCACCTGTTCCATCTGGTCCATGGTCCTAACATGTCCTAACTGGATGGCCTAATTGTGCGGGGTGAGCCAAGTCTCTCCATGGGGAGTGGTGAGGGTCGACCAGTTTACTCCAGTCATTTCCCTTCAGAATCTTCTATGACTGATGTTCTATATCCTTCAGTGCTTCAGTTACCATATAAATTGTTGCGTTCTTCTGTTTTTAACTACCATGTTTTTACAACATGTCCTCAACCCCCCCTTCAATGATTCCACCGCGCCCAACCCAAAATTCCGTCTCCAGCTCCGAGCGGCGCCATGGAACTCGTAGCGAAAGCCGCCGGGTCCAGCTCCGGACGCTCCAGGTCCTGCCCCCTCGCCGCTGGACCTCGGGAGGTCGTTGCCGGTCACCGACTCGTCCTTTGTTTGGGGAGAGAAACAGGTGGGTCTGAACCCGCAAATAGGGCAGGCGGACAGGTGTTGAACGTGCGTCCTATCTAAAGTGCTTGGCACTGTATTTATGGAAACAGCATGAAACAGCCAGATGTTTTCTCTTTTCAACGGACAGGAAAGTCTAGAGATTGGGGTTACCAAATAGGATAAGAAACCATGTCAAATGTTAGATTCAATTTTAGTTATAGTTATATATATAATTAATGATAATATATATATATAATTATATATTCCACATAGTTTACATGCACATGTCCTGCAAATGCAAAGAACACGGAATCTAGAATGAAACCACATGAAACCACGCCAGACAAGTCCATATTTAAAAATTACCTTGATGGATTTCTCATCTTGGTGAACGTAACCACCCAAAGAATGAACAAAAACAAAAACAACATCCAAAAAACCGCCACATCAGCATCCATTCGGATCTCTTCCTCACACAACTACCGGCCAGATCTCACACAACTGGGCTCTCGGCTTCCGGGATCGACCTCTGACTACGGTACGTGACCTCGTAGGACCTGGTCTTCGGGCCACCGAACCCTGGAGCTCCACCCTTCAGACCTTCCTCGCCGAACTGGTCATAGATATTCCTCAGCGGTCGCGCTCGCGCGCCCTCGCGCGTGTGAGAGGTCGCCCAGCCGAGCGGGGGGGGCAAATCCGACCGAAAAGGTGTTCGGAACGGTGATCGCGGACCTCTGGTTCCGCTGAAAGAATGAGTGGGGCAGTGATGTCTTTATGGGAAGAAACTCAGGGGGTCGGTTTGGTACCATTTACCATCATTTACCTACTGGTGGTTTTTCACTTTGGCGTCCACTCTATTGCTCCATTGGCGTCAACCATCCATGGAATGGGGATGATTGGGGTGACCCTTGATCAATGACCTGTTGGGGATCCAGTCGTACCGGGCCCGGTTGCCAGGAGGGTCCTGTTATAGCGAACCTGAGGAGGTACGACTGGAGCCCTAGGGGACAGAATTTGTGTTGCACCATGATGTTTAGGAATGGGCAAGCCACACCACGCAGCTGAATCAGCAATCCTATTGATTGTCGGCTTGGACACACACACACACACACATGGAGTTGGAGAAAATGTGAGTACTTGTTTACTGCTCCAGGCAAACCAAAGCACTATCAACCACTTAGGTTTTGGGGGGTTAAGGTTTTAAGGTATAGCAATCCCCAAACACAGTTGGCACCCTAGGCATCTTCAGCTTGGACAAACTTTAGGCACGAAGGGGGTGCACCTAGCCTTAAACGTCACTTACCTTTGGGAAAGGTTAAAGAGGACACCTACCCCTCAACAAAAACATCTAAACGCTAACTGTGCTTGCAGCAGGAAACTTACACTTCAACTTTTTGAACCCTTTTGAAGTAGTAGTAGTAGTAGTAGTAGTAGTAGTAGTAGTAGTAGTAGTAG